TTCTTCCTGATTTCCATCTTCCAGAGGTGAACCGATTTATCAGTAAGTCGATTCCCCCTTCACTTACTTATCCTCCTCACCAACTATGCAGTGTGGTGCGTAACCCTGCCTCCTTTCAGCCAATGACTTTGAATTACTGCCCCAGGTGGAGGACAATGAGGTGCCTGTAGAGCTGAGTTTGGGAGCGATCCAACCCTTTGGGGAGTTGTGGCACCAGCAAAGGGTGAAATTCAATGTTCCGACAGGTAGGCTTGGGTTTGCCATCACTTTCGTCCCTTGCCTCGTTTAGCCCACGTGACTGTGCACATCTACTCCGATGTTCCACAACAGGCGAAGGAGTAAGTTAAATTTTGAAGTAGCTGCGATCACTTTCTTATGGAAATCATGCATTATTTCAAGTTGCCATTTAGAAAAGTTTGCGTCGGCGATTAAAAGATCCTTTCCTACCATTGGGACGAAGGATGTGTCAGGGAAATTGTAACTGAAGGCACATGAAACAGCCTCATATTCTTGTCTGAGCCCGATGTCATCATACGTGTGACGTGTGCTTGGTGTTGGCCTATGCTGACTGGCGCAAGGCGATGGATGGGTTGGGCCGACTCTGTAGAATTTTCCTAGACCAGTTGTGGATTCTCTTGTGCGACGTTGGGAGAGAGCGGGGCAAACGGACGAGCGTTGTCAGGCATGGCAGTGTGAATGGGGTGAATTTGTTGCAGAAGAAGGCAGGGCTTGGCAGTTAATGCAGCAGGTGGGGATGTGCAGAAGTCGTAATGGCATTGGGCCAACACATTCGCTGTCTTGCTGTGAAGTTGGCTTGCATGGCGTTTTCAAGTGTCATTCATGCCCTTTGTTGGTGGGCAGTCTTGTTGGGCTTTAATTTTAATTCAGTTTCATTGCGAGTCGTGGCACTGGCTGGATGTGGAAGTGGTTTATCCGCTGCGAGTGCTGCGAAGGATGGAGCTCTGACAGCAGCACATTTGACTGACACTTGTTGCATGCAGTGTGTGGAGTTTGAGTAGTCGCTGTTGAATGCATGCACCGTGCAGCCTCAACTTGTTTATAACTGCTTTGCCTCTTGTTTGTTGCTTTAGTGTGGCGCTTCTGCGACTGTGGTCGGGTGCGTTGAACCAGCGTCTGCAGACGCTGCTCTACTGTGCTAATGAAGCTGGTCTCTCGTAGGTTGAGGTTTCCTTGGTGTGAGCACTGTGTCCTCGTAGGTACTCTGTGGCAGCGCTGGATCGTGGCCTGGAGATTGTAGTCGGCGGGTTCAATGAGAAACTGCTTGTAAGTGCATCTCTTCTGTGCTGCGCCCTCGTGGTGTCGCCTACTTGAAGCTCAATGCCCAATGGGGCTCTGTGCTGCGTGTTGGGGGGGGGAGTTAAAACGCGCAGTATTGTAGAGGTAGGTGAAGTGCAGAAGTTGTGGAAGGGCGAGTGGTGGGGTAGGTG